CTGAAGAACAAGTACTCGCTCGCGACACTGTTCCAGCGCCGCGAGCTCTCGGCACTCATCGTTACGACGTCTCGGAGCACAGAGAGATTAACGGAGCACAGAGAGATTATCGGAGCAGAGAGACTTGCGCTAATATCCGGAGTCGCGAGATCATCCGTTCGCTCCCGGATAGTGCGATCGCCTACTTTCTCGGCCTGTTTGTGTGCTGCCTTTAACTGCTTCCTCCTGCTTGCTTGCTGCCTGCCTTAACTTACTGCTGCCTGCCTCGCTTTCGCCTTGCTTGCTGCCCTGCTTGCGCTGCTGCACGAGCCCGATTGCGACCGAGCCGAAGCATCCAGGAGTCGACGGCACAACGAACGGTGAGTCGCATTTGCTTAAAATAACTCGCTTTGGGGGAGACTTACACCCCCTGGTCCTTCGAGCTTCGCTTTATCGCAAATCCGGGTACGGCTCTACCGCCCCCCGAGCAGTCATAATAGTTTACGTATTATTTTTTTATTATAGAAGACGAAGGTAATAAAAGTAATATTACTTCAAACAGCAAATCAAGTGATTCCTTTTATATTCCTAATTCGGATGCTTCTGAAGAAAGTAATATTGAAGACAAGAGAACTTCAGAAACTTCGACTAAAAATGGAAATAAAGATTTATCTAAAACATCAAATAACACAACTCTAGAAACTTCAATTCCTCTTGGACATAGTGCACCAGATGACACAAATATGTTTGTACAATCTGTAGGACGTAGATGTAAAAAAGATTTTTGTGTGTATTGCCGCACTGAACAGACCAAGCTTAGTTATCATCTTATCAGGATACATAAAGATGAGAAAGAAGTAAAGGAAATCATATATCTTCCCAAGGGACAATCAAAGCGCAGAATTTTGATAAATGAAATTCGTAAAAAAGGACAATATCTTTTTAACACCAATTCAGATATTAATACAGGAGAATTGAAGGTCATGCGTCGTCCAAACTCTGAAAAGAATAAAAATGCTACAGATTTTTCTATATGCCCACAGTGCAAAAGTAACTATTCCAAATCAGCCCTTCGACATCATTATAGAAGATGCACTAAAAAAAATTCGACAGATCATAAAGCTATATTATCGAAATCAAGAAGAATCTCATGTCGAATTCACGAATCTGCGTCAAAAATTCTCCGAGATCGTGTTTTTCCCACAATGAAAGATGACAGTGTCTCGAAAGTCATAAGATATGACGAATTGGCTATTGATTACGGAAACAAACTATGTGAAAAGTATCACGATCCGCACTTTTATGACATGATACGACAAAAGTTGCGTCAGATTGGTTGTCTATTTCTCGAAATAAAGAATCAAAACGACAAAATTGATGATCTGTTTACAATTTTTGTTCCAGACAATTATGATAACTGTCTTAAAGCTGTTAGGAATTTAGCTGGTTTAAATGAATCAGGAACTGGTTTTAAAACTCCATCACTGGCAACATCTCTGGGTACATTACTCAAACAACTTTGTAAGAGATGTATCACCATAATGATAAAGAGACGCGATAAGATAAGACGAAAGCTTGCAGAAGAATTCTTAAGCTTACTAACAGAAGATTATGCATTTTCTATTGCTCGAACAGCTGTTGAAACACAACTTCGGAAAAAAAGACATTCAACAGTACTATTACCAACTAAAGATGATATTAAGAAACTAGAGACTTATTTAAGTGATAGGATGAAAACAGCTTATGATTCGTTAAAGGAAAAATTTTCTGTAATCGCTTGGGAAGCATTGGCAGAAGGTTGTCTGCTATCTATTCAGTTATTTAACCGACGTAGACCAGGGGAAATAGAACGTGCTTTAATCGAAGATTTTCAAAATTATCAAGAAGTGAATAAAAATACAATAGGCGCAGCTTATGTCTCCCTTAGTAATGATGAAAAGAAAGCAGCAGAGAAATACGTCCGATTTACTATGAGAGGAAAATTAGGCCGTACTGTACCAGTTCTACTTCATAAGCAAATGTTGGATAATTTAAAACTACTTCTAAGCTATCGCAAGACCGCAAATGTTCATTCAAATAATCCATATCTCTTCGGAGTACCTGGCACATTAAAAGGAGATTATCGTTACTTGAGAGCATGCGATCTCATGAGAAGATACTCAGAAGAATGCGGAGCACCAAATCCAGATAGGTTGCGAGGAACTAATTTAAGAAAGCATATTGCTACAATGTGTACTAATTTAAATCTAAGAGACCACGAGATTTCCGATTTGGCAAATTTCATGGGTCATGCTGACAAGATTCACAAAGAACATTATCGTCAGCCCATTTTAAGTAGAGAAATATTCCACGTATCTAAATTATTGGAGGTTGTACATGGAAAAGACAGCGATGAAGAAATAGATGTAGAGGAAAGTGATTTACCAAATGTATCATCACGTAAGTTAATTATGCTTCTTTTTATTTGTTTTATAGGAAAGTCCTCTATTATGAGATAGGCTCCTAATATGCGATAGCGAGGTTTCTGCTAAACTAATAGGTTCTATTTGTTGGTTCCATCATGAACTTGCCCTTAAAGTAAAACTTATTTAGTGGAAAATTCATTATTCGATCGTGCGTGCACTCGCCTACTACAGTTTTCAATTCTGCACATAAACTTCTAGCAATCACGCAAAATAGACGTGGTATCTCATATAGGGTACTTTCCTCTACTAATTAGATTAGTAGTTCGTTATTAAAATTACTTATACTAATAACTATTGTGTCCATAGCTAAAATAATAGAGCAAAATAGTGTTTTCCTAAATGAGTTTTAATTTTACAGTGTGTTTTGGACACATATAAAGTTACTATAGTAATCTTTAGCTTTAAAATATAAATAGTAGTTTGAGCTGTTCGAGCGATAGAGGATACATAACCTTCTGTTAGTAAGCTTACAAATTCTTCTTCAAGCTTTCGTCTTATCGCGTTTCTTTATCATTTTTAATACATCTCTTACAAAGTTGTTTGAGTAATGTACTCAGAGATGTTGCTAATGATGGAATTTAAACTAAATACATTTTTATTACTGTCTACTCTAATTATTATCCTATGCAATTATAATCAATATAACTGTTTACATTATTGTACATGAGCAAATTTCAGTTGGTATTTAATGAAAAATAATTACTATTTTTATATTTTGTATACTTTATTTTTCCAGATTCATTAGATTTTACAGAACCTAACGCAAATCAAAATAATACAGATGAAAGTCTTTGTCTGCCTTAATAATTATTAGACAATTATTAGATAATACGGTACTAATATTATTAGTTAATTATCGTTATAATAACTTCGTTATTAAAATAAAATAATATAGAATTATAATTACAAGTTATTAAAGTTCTAAAAGGTTTATCATTTATTTTTACAATTCTATAAAGAATAGCAATTCTATTAAAAAATCCAGATAGTCCAGATCTATCAATTCAATCAAAAATCCAGATCTATCAATATGACATTAAATTAAATATATATGCGGCATTCCATGCCAAATCGATCAGGGTTTGACCCTCGACCTCTCGGATTTAATCGGTGATTTTTTATGTTATTGTTCCACCTTTAAGATGCACTTTGAATTCTTTTTAGATTTTTTTTTAAACAATTGATTTAGTTATAATTTTTTAAACCGACATATCGATGGCCATTTTTATGGTAATTTCAAATTAAACATTTTACACGTTATCAGATTGACCTGGTTAGAAAATCTAGTTTTTTTTAAATAACTGGATAAAGTATTAAACATGAAGTATTAAATAAAGATAAAAAACTTACGTTACTAAACCGTTTTAACGTTAATAAATCTACTTTATTAATTATTATAAAAAGATTAAAAAACGGCCACAATTTAAAAATCTGAAAAAATTCTCAAAAATCCTGTGTCAAATATTGAAATTTTTAAGCCTAGGCCCAAAGTGGGCCGGCGTTTGCTTCTAATTTTTTCAAGTTTTTTTCGAGTTTTTTTCGAAAAAAATATTGAAAAAAATTAGAAGCAGACGTAAGTCCACTGTAGGCTGTTGCTTGAATATTTTTGTATATAACACAGAATTTTTGAGAATTTCCTCAGATTTTTAAATTGTGACCATCGATATGTCGGTTTAAAAAATTATAACTAAATCAATTGTTTAAAAAAATCTAAAAAAAATTCAGAGTGCATCTTAGGTGGAACAATAACATAAAAAATCGCCGACCAAATCCGAGAGATCGAGAGTCAAACCCTGATCGATTTGGCATGGAATGCCCCATATATAGCATTAAGCTTATATTTAATTTAAATCTTCATGTCATATTTATAGAAAAAATCCATATAAAAAAACATGTTTATGGGGTTTGTCAATAATTTCTTTATATTTAAGCAAATTTATTTTCTTTAAATATATTTTTCAATGTTACAACATGTTTCAAACATTTAACAGTTATTAATTTTTAATTTTAAAATTATTAGTATTTCAAATCAATCTGTGCTATTGTTTTAAATAATTAATATCAACAGAATTTAATTTACACTGTGAGGATATAAGTAGATTATATAGTTAATATTTAAAAAAATATTATTATTTTAATGCTTTGTGTACATTATTTTTACAGATTCATTAGATTGTGAAGAATCTAATGTAAGTGAATACAGTACAGATAAAAATAAATCTTTATCCTCTCCTTCACAAGTGAATCATAAGGATAAAAAGAAACGTTCAAGTAAGTGTAATTTACGAAATATAAATATGTCATATTTGTGTTATATGTTTGTTTTCATTATCAGCATCTCCATTTGGAAAATGTGTTCGTCGACGTTGGACAGAAGAAGAACAGAATATTACACGTGCAACTTTTAAACATCATATTACTTCTGGAATTCAACCTTCTTTTAAAGAAATCCAAAAAATGAAGGATGAAAACCCCCATGTTTTTGCCAATAGAAGTTGTGCAACTATTAAAGCATGGATAAATAATCAAATGAAGAAGAAAAAAAAATAATAGAAATGAGATCACGTTATATCTCAAAAATTCTTATAAACGTTTGTTCTTTCGAGTATTTTATTGTATACATATATAGTTCTTATTATACATGTTTAAAACATATTTTAAATGTTTTACTGTTAAACATCTTTACTCTTTAATATCTTACATAAGTTTGGGACATATGTATAATTTTTGTTCATTTTAGCCTAGAAAATATTTCCCTGAAATAGTGCCGTGCAATTCTGAAACATTCTGTATAATTTAAAATATCAGCTATGTTAATCTTAGAGTGCTACTATTTTTTTTTTTACATTAACATTACTCTGAGCGAAAATTTAACCTCAAAATTAAGATTTTTTTTAAATATTTTTAAAAATTTTTTTACACATTTTTTAAGTTACAACTTGTGACTTACAAGATATTAAACTGACCGAACTATTTTGATATGAAAATTAAATAAAATTGTAATGTGTTCGAAAATTTTTGAACGATCATTCATATTATCCTCCCAATGTAAGTTATAAATTATCTTATTGCAGCGCTAAATATATATTATAAAATCTTATTAAATGTCATTTTTTAAGTTATTAAAATTTTAATAATGCAAGCTGTGCAAGAAGTTCAGCTAAAGCGAATAGGACTATATAAAGAGAGCTTCTGATTCTAGTCAATTATCCAGTAAACAATCTACCTGCAATATGACAATAGATTAACAGTAGATTTGCTCAGATTTCGCAACAGATGCGGTATCATCTATGTCCGCATTAAACTTGTGGTTTGATATAATCTAACAGTAGATTATCGGCAGAAACCGTGCAGAACTTGTCATTTCTTAAACATTTAAATGGATCATTTAATGTATAATATATAAATTAATAAATATATTATTATAATAGGGTAACTCCGGTATTTACGCCGTAGAAGTTACAAAAAACAGAAAGAGAATAAAAGTATTTGCTCGTAATTATTCTGTTATGTGCCTTTATGCCATATCAGTATTGTGCGGTAATTTCAGTTTTTTATTGTTAATATTAACGAAACCGTCATGAATCGATTTCTCACCATAGTAAGTAGCGCGATCATATACATATTACGACCTACATGAAATAATTACTATAAAAAGTGTAAAAGGTTCAATGGTTATTTCATGATACATAAAGGATGGAATACAGCAAAATACAAGTGCATAGCTCTTGTATTCTTTGTTTAGTTTGATATCTTGTATAACCCATCTGTTTAGGATATACGGCATTTTTAGCGTGCAGGATTTATGCCATAGTACAAACACTCTGTAAAAATCGAAATCTTCTATGTGTTCTTTATCCTTTTTATTTGATCATATAACCTTTAATGCATCTATCGTTCGTCTATTTTTTTATTATACTGGCAACGATTATAATCGTCGTGACAAATCGTCACCCCGTTTCGACCATGGATTTGGGTCCTTCTAAAATTGATGTAATTTAGATGGTTATATTATAAGCATCCTAAATTTAATTATTCAGATAGGATACTTATAACATCTCCTGAAAATGTTGCACCGCGAAATACCAAAAACTTACAGCCAAATCAAAATTGTAACTCTACGACGTATCGTTATAGATTTCCTCGGTGCAATGATAAATAGCAGGACCGCCCAGTTGAACTATTTCTTAATTAATTTCATCTATACGTTCGGTTACTATTTGAGAACTTGCAATATTTTACACGGTGCATTATTTAAGGATTAACACACGAAAATGTTGGCCCACGAAATACCGACAGATTACAGCCAAATCAAAACTTTTACTCTAGGACGTATTGTTACATGCGAGGACCGATTTCCTCGGTGCAATGGCAAATAGCAGGACCGCCCAGTTTAACTATTTTTTAATTAAATTCATCTATACGTTCAGTTATTACTTGAGAAGTTGCAATATTCTACT